AATATGAAGTAATATATAATGAAAAAGTATCTCACCTGTATGTCCTTCAAGTACAGTTCAATCAGACAAACAGTGGGCTTCTCTATGCACACATCGAAATGAGCTACCTTAATGGACTGTAGCACCAGAGCCGGGATGTGTATGTGCATGGGTGGGGAAGCACTTACTAAAATTCTCTTCTTCAGCCCCCAAACCCACAACTCCTTGCACACAGAAAGCTAGCACAATATTTCATGTGTAGATGAAGCATATTATGTACGTGTGGGAGAACTATGCCTTTGTTCTTTCTGCTGTAGCCATTTGCTTGGTTGAAGAGGAAAGCCACATTTTAACCAAAAAGTGGCTTGCCTTTTCAGCCAAGTGAGCAACAACAGCTGTTGTGAGCTTCTTCTCACATGTTTTATCCTCCTTTGTTCACCAGAGTGGAGGTGTGTTCACCTTTGGGGCAGGTTCCTTTGGGCAACTCGGCCATGACTGCTTGAATGATGAAGTAAACCCCAGAAGGGTTCTGGAGCTAATGGGCAGTGAGGTGTCCCAAATCGCTTGTGGTAGGTGAGTGGACTTTGTGTGCTGCTTCACCAGTGTGGTATGTAACAGTGCTGTTTGGGAAATGAGCAAAGCAGGAGTTGGAATGCTTGCAGTCTTGAGTGGTGACAGTTGGATAATGTTGTGCACTCGTCAAGGCATGCTGCGTCAGACGTTCTCTGTATACATGACCATTCTTAATTTGGCTTATCGTTGCTGCTCTTGATTTTTCCTCCACCGCCTCAAACAGTTCCTGTAACTAAGAGGATGGATTATGTGGTGACATTTCTGGAGGCTTCAGATTTAGTTCTCATTAGGGTTCAAATGACATGCCACCATATCTTGCCCATTTTAGATTTAGCCACATGGGCAAAATTAGTAGCTCCTCATCTGGAATTTTCAGCTCCATTGGGTCCAAATCATCCCTCCTGTAGATTTGTGGTGAAGTGGCAGGGACCAGAGGTACTGTGTATTAAGCAACTAAAGATGAATGTCTGTCTCCCAATGTCGAGCACATGTGAAATGGCCACTTGCTTTTGATGGGGCTCATCTTCAGGCTCCTATGGGGTGACTGCTTCTCTTTGGTCTAAATGGATCTTTTGCCTTATTAGTAAAAGTCAGGTAAACGTTTCCCTTGCTCGAAAGCTAGTCAAATCCGACTCTAGGGGGCGGTGCTCATCTCGGTTTCAAGGCCGAAGAGCCAGCGCTGTCCAAAGACGTTTCCGTAGTCATGTGGCCGGCATGACTAAACGCCGAGGCACACGGAATGCTGTTACCTTCCTACCGAAGCGGTACCTGTTTATCTACTTGCAGTTTCTACTTGCAGTTTCTTGCTTTTTGGCAGGAGCTGGGGCCAGAGATGAGAGCTCTCTCCGTCACATGACATTAGGGTCTCGAACTGCCGAGCTCCCGACCTTCCGGTCTGCAGCTCAGCGTCTTAACCTCTGAGCCACCGCAGCTTGTTAGGCATGACAAAATCACGAGCTGAACTTTTTACCACATGTGGTGGTCATGTGATAAAGCTATGGTTTTTTGGACAGAAGTTCATAATGAGATGCAGAAAATTTTGAAATGTACTTTTAAAAAACAGCCGGAGATTTTACTTCTAGGACTTAAGATGGAAGAAGTAAATGTGACAAAAAAGACATTGTTGTGGTATTTGATTACTACTGCCAGAATGACTTATGCACAATCTTGGAAACAAGACAGAATACCAGAAAAATGGGAATGGATACAGAAAGTGTTATTTATGGCCGAAATGGACAAATTAACAAAGAAACTTAATAATAAAGAAGATCAAGAATTCTTTGAGGAGTGGAAAGAAAAAAATTGGGATGTAAAACATAATCTACTTTGTTTTGATAATTATTAAGGGTAGAAATATATAAAGGTATTGAATGAATAGAGTAAAATATTGTTACCTTGAAATTTAAGAATGAAATTGGATAAAGATAAAGGAAATATAAGAGGGAAAGGAGGGAGGAGCATTGCGGGAAGCCACAAGGAGGGGGGAGGGAGGAGATAAGAGATATGGATATATGATAATTGAAATGTAATGTTGAATATGTTGTAATATCCAAAATAAAAAGTTTTGAACCAAAACAAAAATCACGAGCTGAAAGACATGGAGGGTTATTTTCCTGATGTTAGGCTTCTTTTTTTTGTGTCGAAACATGGGATGTTCCAGGAAAGATATGAGCAGACGTGGCATTGCCTTCTGCTGCAGAGCGGCCCTGGTCTTCCTTGGCGGTCTGCCAGCCAAATACTAACCATGGTTGACCTTGCTTAGCTTCCAAGCTCTGATGAGCTTGGGCTGTTCTGGGCTGCTAACGAACAAGTAACACAGCATTAAATCATAAGTAAAACATAAAACATCAAACAGCTTTAAAAGAATTTCATAAAATAGGCTAGAGCATAATGTAAAAACCATTTAAAAGAGCAGCCCCTAAATGCCTGGGTAGGGTGGTTGGGAGATGAAAAGATTGATCGATTGAACCTTTTTATGGTCGGACGTCTAAGAAACTGATGTAATTAGAAATGTATTGCAAACCTTACGTGTACTTAGTAACGTTGTGGTTGGCTTGTTGCAGGCAGCACACGCTAGCCTTTGTGCCTTCCTCAGGAATTATCTATGCATTTGGCTGTGGAACCAGAGGCCAGCTAGGAACTGGGCATACCTGCAGTCTTAAATGTCCTTGCCCAGTAAAGGGTCACTGGGCAGCCGACAACGAGCAACACTTGGGTGCAATAGGTAAGTGGAGCTGGCAGTGAATGGGCAGTGCTGAGACACTGGCTTGTGTATGGGCTGGAAGCCGGCAAGAGCTGAGACTAGTCAGGGTGTGACTAGGCTGTTATTGTTGTTGTTGTTTTTGTTGTTGTCGTTGTTATTATTATTATTAATTTCACCCCATCCCGGCTTGCGCCAGGCTCTGGGCGATGCACAAAACGCAGTGCCATGAAATACAAAACACAAAACATTACATTTACACGCAACATTAGTAAAATCTCAGTGTACATAAAAATCCAAGATGGCGATTTCCCTATATTATTATGGGTCCCGGTTCCGTATTACCGGTCCCTTATTCTTCTGGGCTCCTCTAGCTTAGATTCATCACCACACGTTTATTTTGAGGTGTTATGCATTGCCTTTAAAGCTCCAAGCCCCCCCAAATGAGGCGACAAAGTGTGAACGACTTACTTTACCATACTGGAGAAGATACTTGAAAACCTGCATTTTGTTGAAAAAATTTCTAATGAGGTAGCTCTCTCCTCTTTTACTCAGAGAGACTGTTTTGTGCTTGCGGCTCCCCTCACGAAAGTGAGGCTTTCGTAAAGTCGGTGCTGTGAGGACTGAATCATTTGAAATTGTCAGTGTATGTTTTGGCCTCAGGGTGTTCCTGACAGGAGGCTAGTCTCTCTGAGGCGGGCTCCCTGTCAGCAGGCAGACCTATTGTAGCAATATCAGCACTCTCCTCCAGTTTACCTCCCTCGGTTTGAGCTTATTTGTGCATTCTGCGCGTGAAGTAGAGATACCATTTATTGCACATTATTATTATGCCCTAGTAGTAGCCAGTTTCAAAGCAGATTATTTTATGAAATATTTGCAGTGGGTTTGGTCCTTTATATGGTAACCACTGGCTAGCAACGGAATTCAGTTGTAATAAGGCAGGACTATGTTCGTAGCCTGTTTTCCGTTCAGGGTGACCTTTTTCTGTCACCAGGCATCACAAAAAGAAGCGGGGCTGGGCAGGGTTTGCCAGGGATGGGACGTCGCTTCCAAGGATCCCTTCCTCTCCCCACACGCACACTCCTTCCCCCTTCAGCCCTGGAGCAGGCAAGGACCTTATTGGCTTCTACCATTCTGGTTCTTGGGCTTTATTGGAGACGGCCCAGAGTGCACCCCCCACCACCAATGCCCTCTTCCATCGGGGCATGCCGTATCATATGGCCAGAAACAAAAAAGAACACCACTGGCAAAAAATAACGCACAAGCAAGTAAGCAAGTATATAATGATCAAATAAGCATAACAGCAAGTATAATATAAATCAAATAAACATAACAAGTATAATATAAATCAATAGGCCAAAGTGCAATAATAAATCATAATAGAAACAAGTCACAGTCTTTCCATGTGTCTACTCCAGCAT